GCCCTTCCCGCCAGCCATTCCACTTGGACTCCCTTCATTCTGTTCCCGTGCGTTTAGTTTTGTTCGTTTGCCCCTCTCCTCCCCCCCTCCCCCTCCTTCCCTCGTCCGTTCGTTGCCCGTCCTGCGTCTTGGTGTAAATCTGTAATGAGCCGCAGTTTATGCCGATTCCACCTTCCAGTCTTCCTTCCCTCGCTTATCCGCCACAAATTACCCAATGGCGCATTAAATACCCACTTTATTCTTGCGCGATGAATAATTCTGCCATTGCTCCAAACAAACATCGCAATGTAAATTTTCATCGGTATCGCTTCTGACGTCGATTTGACTTGGAAGTACAAGCACGACGGAGTAAGAAACTAATTCTTTCCATTTGTAAACACTTGTACAGGCCGAATTGAAGAAAATGTAGAACTTCATTTGCTGTCTTTGCGCACAAATATTATTAATAAAGACATTTGGTTACGGTACGATATGCTCGATATACATTTTGAATTAAAATAAAATGTCTCCTCGCCGTGAAGTTGCGAGAGACGGTCGAAAATTAATGTTACGCTCAATAAGATGTTATAGAGCCACGGCATTTTAAGGGAGATCCTTCCCCAGAATCCAGATTCGCAAAGTTCGGCGAGCTTGAAACGCCCGAAGGCATCCGAAACGATCAAAAAGTTATCGATCACGGTAACCTTCCACACTGACCGCCGTCTACCTGTTTCGGACACGTCAAAGCACGGACATGGAGCCGGCTGTCTTCTCGTTTGTTTCAAATTCTCGTCACTCATTTTTCATACGTTTACGCCGTCGCCGCCGCCGCCGCCGCCGCCGCCGCCGCCGCCGCAGGTTCCTCTCGATACTAAAAGAAAGAGAGAAAGGGAGAATGAACGAGGGGGAGCGAGGGAGGAGAGAGAGAAGGGAAAGGTGAAGAAGAGGGAAGAGAGGAAGAAGTTGCGAACGGAACGGAGAGGGGTAATCGTTCTCTCCTCCACGCTGTTCGAAATAGTGGTTCTTTCCGCCCTTTGTTCTTCCTCGCAAGTTTTCTTCCTTCGGGCGCGAAGGGGGAAACAAAAGACAAATTACAGAGACGCCCGTCATGTGACCCTTCCCACCTGTCTATAAACGACCTAGTCCGGTCCAGAGAAAACGAGAGCACGCCGAAGGCGGACACGGGAGGGAAATCCATGATCCGGGCGACTTGGTCGCATGTGTAAACTACTTCTCGATTGAAGATCCACTTTTTCCTTTCACCTTTCGATGATCGTGTTCCATTGGGATGCGTTTCTTTGTTTAATGAGAGCGTTTACAAATTAATCGTAAATGCAGTGGAACGATGCAAAAATTGAGGGAGAAGCTGAGAGCATGGGAGTCTCACCAGCTGTTCGTAAACATTCTGGCATAATAAAGGCGAAAGAATGGAGGAGACACGAGCGAGTAGTGAATGGAATTGAACAATGGCTTGCGTGTGGATCTTTTTGCTTCTACTTTACGAAAGTGTTGTTTTTGTACGATCGAAAATTTTCGCTAATAAAATTTCTCGAATTGATGAGACGCCCGCATAGAGAGAAGGGAAGTCCAGGTTCAAACCCTGGCTGAGGTAATAGTTTTCGCAATAAATTTTCTGTATTAAAACACTGACCGGTTAATGTCGACTAAAAAGCTTGATTAATAAAATTTCTCTAGAAGTAACAGCGAAACGATATCGATAGCTACATTGCTTTGTCAATCTTGTGCAAATGAATATAAAGAAAGAGCGTTGATCTGAAAATCCTGGAATTTATATACTCACGATAAAATATTTTATAAAAGATTACCATTATATCGAATTTGTAGGCGCACAAATAAAATCTTCTCGGTTGAATTGCGGATGTAAAGAGCGAAATAATAAGCAGTATCTCGATAAGATGTTATTAATTCAGAAAAATAATCGCTTTCATGTTTTAATTTACATATTCTATCGCAGATTCTTTGTCACAACTATAACGCTCTTGCTAAATAAACCAATTTGTATATTCATTTAAGCTTTGTTCGATAAATCTTGCATTGAAATTAACACACATTTTTAAAAAAGTGACGGAAAGACATGGCACAACTGGCAAAGTTATGTTTCATCAAAAGGTTACATTTTAGAGTGTAAACTCACACCGACGTCCTCGTACTGATGAGAACGCGCGAAGCGACGGCTGTCAGCTTTGTCGCGGACATCAGCATCTGCTCCTTCGACGATTGACGAACTATTACATTAACAAACCCGTTATTTTAATATCGTTTTTCACGTTTCGGCTTTGTTGTTTTTTTTCATTAGAAACAGCGTGTTGCATTAATTGTGAAAATTTTGAAATAAAATTGTAACTTATTAACTGAATATAAATGAATTATAGTAAATGACTTATTAATTACTTCTTTATTAACTACAGTTGTTTTGTAATATTTCATTGCAAGTATTTTGTGGTATCTTTTAATATTCAGTTTTTATTTAACATTTATTTTTTAAATTATTAGAGAACTATTTAAAAAAGAGAAGATGGAATTTAATTAATTTTCAAAAAATAAGATGTGTTAATTAGTCTATTAGAGTAAACTCTACATTATGTATTAATATTAGTAACAATACTGATGTTTATTTACATGAATGTTATTTCAATAGTGGTGTATATGCCTCAACAATTTGCATATTTAAAGCCTTAATATCTACTCCTTCTGTAAAATATTTATGGTAGCAGTCTCAACCGGATGAACCCATAGACGAAGTTAACAGCGTGATATACGAAAATACGAACTCTATTTTCGTGCTGTATCGTTCTCACCTCACACACGATCCTGTCGGGTCTTCATTTTGACTGCGCCTTGACAGTTCGTCATCCTCTACATCGTCTCGCAAGAACGAGAAGCTTGCTCGCAACGCCGACATTTTCGTCCGAAAAAAGTCGTTACCGTTACAAAGCAGTAACGCCTGTCACTAATTTGGATTAGCAACCAGTGGTGCGACACGGTACCGTTCTCTTACTCACAAATGTTAACAACAATATGTAATTATTGTCACTAAAATGTCCGACGCTCCATAAAGAAAATCGTTTAAAAATTCTTTCTAATTTAAAGATTCACTTATGCTTATTAATATCTAAATATAAAATGCGGGCAATTTTTTACAACGATCGAAAAACCTCGCAAATATCTATACAAACTCCCCAAAAAGTTGGTCCACTTTTTGTTGCGTATATTTTTATTTAGTAACGGTTTATTATATATCGGGTAGTTATTTGCCATCCAAATATTGCCCCGAATCCATCGCCGGATTGAATTAAACTCCTGGAACGATTGAACAGATACAGGGCGTGGAGTGGAGTTTGATCGACAGTTTCGTCCAACCAATCGCAAGACCGAAATGCTGATGAGGCCCACGTCAATCATGCGATACTTTCATCTCGCCACCATCGCCCTCACCCTATGGAAACTCCACGTGCAGGATTTGCTAGGTTCAAAGCTTACTACATCTTCAGTCTACACCCCCCTCTCTTTCTCTCTCTCGCTCTCTCTCTCTCTCATCCCCGAGTGTCTTCTCTCTTTTCTATTCTTCCTCTCCCTTTCTGACCGTCTCTATCACGTACCCTCTCCGACCTTTCCCAGTCACTATACCTTCCTCTTTTTACCTTTCGTCCTCTCTATGTCTTTTTCCTCCTGTCTCGTTCGATTATTCTCTTTCTCTTTCTTCTTTAACCCCTGACGACTCATCCTACTGTCGAACCACCCCTCAGCCACCCTACATCCGCTCGCACGCTATGGGGTAGTTTAGCATCTCGGCCCTACGAAACGAACCACCCCCTCCCTCGCTGCCCCCTTCGCTCCAAACTGCGTCACGCCGTATCGGTTTTTTTCTTTTTCCATGATACGGCGACGCGTAAAAAAGTGTAACACCCCTGCCTCTTGATAAAAAAAAAAGATCTTGACATCCAGGTGGTCAGTGACCGGTAGAATAAAATATTGGCGTGAAATATTTTCCTGTTGCTGTCCACCAAGGTGTCTCTCACGCTCCTGAATAATAGACAGAAAATCCAAAGCACTCAGGAAGTAATATATTGGGGAAAGTTTTTCTAAACATTCATGGCAAAATATACGCTGTTCCTGGAGAATTTGCCAAGACACGTCTTGTTAAACAACGCAAGCTCGCGGCGAGCCATCAAGTTTGATTGAAATATTACTCCTCGGGGCGTGCAGCGAATTCTGTAATTACGATAGGCGGCTATTAATAATTGTTTACCGCAGTTGGGTGGAAATTACTCTTACGCCACATGCCTCGACAAAGTACCGTGAGATACTTGGTCGCTACTTTCTAGACCAAATCTGCCCGCGATATGCTTCCTTATACCCGCCCCTCCAATCCCACCCTCTCGTGTTTTCACGTCCTCTCGATCCTGCGTGGCATTCCTCTTGCTATCGCGAAACAAGTTTCTTATCCGATAACAATTAGGAGGTGTTTCGCATCGACACGGAATAGTGCCGGTAGGGAAACTTGCCCAAAAGTTTCTAAGGAGCCCAGTAACTCGCCGGAACAACACCAGAATGGTCCTTTTCGCCGCGCGGGAATCTTCGCTTATGCATTGTTAAGGATGTCGTGTCGCCATCCCTCCCTCCTCTCTCCTTATCTCTATCTTCCTCTCTATAGTCTAGGTTGCTTAAATGATCATTAATTAGGATACCATTTACTTCCTATAACAGACAAAAAGAGAGCAACGCTGCGGTGAGGACGAAGCGAGTATCGAAGCGCGAAAACTTCAACGTGCTGCAAGAAATAGAATTAAAAAATTAAAATGAATTACTTGCACCATGTTTCTTGATAAAAATATTTTGAATATTCGTGAAATGTCTAAATACACGATATCTCACTCGAAATATGAAAATTAATTGACTTAATTGAATTGATCTCATTATTGAGGAGAATCTACGTATTATTTCGATTCATTACAATCACGTCGAAAATATTTAAAAAGAAGTGGATTCTTGTTTTACAGAGAACGGTCTGCCAAGAAGGTTACGAACGGCTTATACGAATACGCAACTTCTCGAGCTGGAGAAAGAATTTCATTTCAACAAGTACCTTTGTCGACCGCGAAGGATAGAGATCGCAGCTTCATTGGATCTCACAGAGAGACAGGTGATAACTTCAATTAAGTAACGTAACGATCGTTCCTTATATCGTTTCCATTTTGAATGCGATACATTTGCTTTAAAATCTTTGATACTATTTTTATGTCGCTTCATTAAAAATGTTCACAAAAACCACCTTGCTTTTGTTGGTTGTGCAGTAATTAATGCACCGTATGCATATTGTCTCTATATTTAATAGCTAAAATATAAATAATAATATAAATGTCGCTGTCTTCCTCTCAGGTAAAAGTTTGGTTTCAAAATCGACGAATGAAGCACAAGCGGCAAACTCTTAGCAAGGAAGACGGCGACGAGAAGGATGGTTCCACGTCGGACGGCATGGAGAAGCCTAAGAGCGACAAAATGTTATCAGCTGATAACGACGAGAAGAAGAGCTGTCATAACTGTGATATTTCGGGCGTGGGAGACGTCGGGAGCACCCTCACCGGCGACGTTACCGACTTAGGTTCTTCCGGTCGGAGAAACAGTAACAACAACAATACACCTGGCGCGACCAACAACAACAATAACAACAACAACAGTAATCCTGGTTTTAACACGAACAGCAACGGTGCCAGCAGCGTTGGCAGTACCAACAGTGTGTCCAGCTCGTTCGAGAAGATGATAGTGGATGACGATTCGAGGTCGCAAGATGGAAGCGAGGTGACGTCGCCGAGCGTGACGAAAAAATTGTCGGGCGAGGTGAGAGTGAAGGTTGAGAGCGGCCACAAAAGTCCGAGCACAGGGAAGCAACAGCAGATCTCGGTGAGCAAGAAGTCGCCATCGGCCAGCACGAAGGACATGTGTTCGGTGAACAGCAATGGTGTGCTGTTAGCCATGCCGGACTCGACGGTCAGCACGCCGGTTCTGCCGGGTCAAAATTCCACGAGAAGTTTGACGCCATCCTCGACACCCGGTACCCCCGTTTCCGTCCAGCTTCAGCAAGGCAGCCCCCTTGGTATCCAGCAATCGGCTCACACGGCCTACATGCAGAGGCCGCGAAGCTCGCCGTCCTCCACGACCTCGTTACCGGGCCCGATGTTGCACGCCTCTGCGAATCCGGGAACGATGTCGCCGCACGGTGGCCGAAACATCTCCAATAGTCAGCAGGCGCACTTCCAACAGCAGAGCGTGTATCAGTCCGCGCCGGCGATTGATTATCGAAACGGCGTGCCTGCAAACAGGCAGAGTATACCTACGGCATCGCAACAGACCCAATCACAGAGCAGTTACTGCACCAGAGATACGTATCAGCAACCAAGAATCTCTTATCCGAGCGAAGTGAATTCTCTGTACGTTAGACAGAATCAGACGGTGGGCTCGAGGATGCCGCATCACGTGAGAACGACGGGCACGGCGTCGAGGTCGATGTACGGTGCCAACATGCAGTTCCATCAGCAACAGTTGCAGTACAACGGAGAGTACAACGGGTATCCTCAGGCCGGGCCACCTTATCACGCTTATCACAGAGGCATGCAAGGTGCCAACGCGTACAATTCCGGCCAGGGGTACTCGGCGACGCAGAACGAGCAGAGCACCGACGGCTACATGACGTCTGGAAATTACGGCTACTCGACGCCCAGTAATTATCACGGGGTGGCCGGTGAGAATCTGGCGACACACGGCCACGCCGCTGTGTCCGCGCAGACCGGGCAGCATTATTTCAACGACATCCAGCAGCAGCAGCAACACCCGCAGCAACACACCGCCGAGGGCTACGTCACTCATCAGCCGCCGATGCATCCAAGTTCCGGCGACTACCGGCCGGGGAACAAGTGTCACCCGGGAGCGTATTACGAGCAGACTGCTGGTCAGCTGCACGTTCATCAGGGCGGCGAGGCCTCCAGCATCCCGAACAGCTACGTATCGTCGCCCGATCCGTTTCCGGCGCCCGGCATGACGACAACCGCGACGGCAATCGCAGCCGCCACCGCAGCGGTTATCACGCCACCCGGAAGCGCCGGCCAGGCTGACGGTAACAACGAGTCCTATGGCAATTATGGCAATTTTTACGGCGAGCCGGTGCACACCGCCGCGGCGGCGCCGCCGCCATCCGCCGACAACAGTAACAGCTCGTCCGACTTCAACTTTCTCAGCAACCTGGCGAACGACTTCGCGCCCGAGTATTACCAGCTCAGCTGAGTCCACGAGACTGAGAATCCTTGCCAGATGGACTGGGGCGATGAGCAATGCCTACTCAACGCTTTGTACTGAAGCTGACACCGTGCCGCGTAACAATCTATACGTGATTTGTACATATACTTTTACCATTCGTAATTTAATTCTGCGTGTAAATGGAAATTGTGTAAAATAAAATGGACTCGGTTTAGGAATGTTATTATCGGTGCATGTGTCTATATAAGTATGCACCATCCAGACTAGGTTGTCGAGTGTCCCCTAGTTCCAAGTGACACCTTCCGCGAGTCGTGTCCAAATTATTTTCAAGACCGGCTGCATTAATCAAGGCACGAGGACTAGAGAGTGGTTCTACACGGCGAACCTGAAATGTTTACATTGATACTTCAACAACTGTGAGCGTATCTGAAGTAATCCGGGGTTACCAGAGAAATTGTCGACTCCAGAGTGCAACCGTAACTGAGCAGTCGACTATCGTTACGCATCCGAGTAATATCAGTTTTAATATTCCTCACCGGCAGGACGTAACTCGTATCAGTTTACATTCCAAATATTGAAGGAGATTTCGAAAATATACAACAGTGACAACGAGTGCAATAGTTGTGTTAATTTTAAACCAGAACGACGACAACACAGCCCCCCCCCCCCCTTATTCACAGAATGTTTCAAACTGTGTTGCAAAGTGACGTTCACATCGCCACCCTTTTGGTGCGAAACGGCGCTTGATCGCAGAAGACGAGGAGTGATTTGCAAGTGATATTAGACTGATATACACGAGCTGTGGTTTACAAATGTTCATGAAGAGTGTTGTAAATATGTCAGAGGTTTACCGGGACGGAAATTCGATGGAGTTCCAATTCGACGCGGTCCGATTCTCGCGAATGGAGACACGAGGTGTAAGTGCAATCTTCTTGGCGCGAACGTTGTCTCTACGTTAGTGCATCGTTAGGGTGTTTGAAAGTTAGACTGTATAAATGACCGAAGCCATGTTCCTTTCGTTTTCGATGTAACTTCAGTCACTGGCGCAGAATGCGTGCTCGGTTGATGTGTTTAGTTTGAACAATTCGAACGGGATTATCTGAAGATGTTTTTCAATTAGGCACGATTTTACAAACGTTTAATTGTCGGGCAACAAGATAACTGAGATTGTATCGATTTGATTTACGTAAGATGATAAAACGAGGCCTGAGACTGTAGATGCATGTGAGCAATAATTAACAATGAAACTAATGTACATATATATCATACGAAGAATAGATTAATGGAACACAAATGAATAAGAAAATCGCATTTATACACAGTCATGATTACTATATCGAATATACAACTTCTGAAAAGTGAAATAGGTACAATCCGTTAGTTTTAATTAAACACAGGAAATAGATGTCTATCTCTCTCTCTCTCGCTTGTAAAAAGAAATCAATGTCCTCCAATTGAGTATGGAGAATAGTTAAAACTCATTTACTTGGCCATTATTGCGGAAAGAGACAGGTGCACATGTAAAAGTGTTGCGCTATTCGTTTTGTGAAAAAATGAGACGAGCTTTAAAATTAATTTCAATCGATATATGTTATTCTGTGTCGTGGATAATGCCGTTTAACAATGAACGGATGTCGTTGAGCAATAATAACAATCCACCCTTTCCGATTGCGGAAGCTGTATTTATTGTAACACCCACTGAATAAATATCGGTTGCATTATCATTTTTTCACAAACCGCGTTTTTTGTTTTTCTCTCAAAGTTCTACTAGCGCTACTTTAAGCGAACCAAATAAATTATTGTCTCACGGTAGGTAATATAAAAGTAAACGTAGATAGGGACATAATTTTAATTTTCACCTCGCGACGACATATTTAATACGCAGCTCTTTTTGTATAAAACACTAGACGCCGTCGTTGTTCATATAAAGATTCTCATATGTACATACGCGCATACGATAACGCCGTATATATTGTTTATTCATTCTGATTACATAATTGTGTTGCAAGTGAGCCCTCGACACGGTAAACGAAGTTATCACACGTGTACATTCACTCACCGGTACATTTGACAAATACAGATCATAGTGAAAAGTAACGGAGAGTGTTTTTATTTTCTCTGGTAATCATTTCGTTTTTTGCTGTTTCAGTCGCTCGGTTAAAAGTGCTAAACGCGAATCGTATGGAGTCTGAAAGCACCGTACGAATCAACGAATGATACGGAAAATCATAACTTTAACGAAGGAGTGACCATGAACGGGAGCGAAACGCGTAAATTTTGATCGTAGACGGCGCGGTTTGCCCATGCCGGCGATGAAAGTGACGATGATAGATGACCCAAAATATCCGAGCAATCGAACTGAAATATTATTCTTAGCAGCATCCTTACACCGTGTCAACTTCATATTCTATTCAGAGATTAACGCGCCGTTTGTTATACCGGAGAAACCCCTACGCGCACATCAATTGGTTTATCATAGTCGCGTAAACCTGGAGAAAGAATAAACATTAAATTTACCGAGGCATAATTGACCGCGATGTACAGTTCACGTGTTATCAAAAGAAATTTTATTATTGTCAGCGAAACAATAGCGTCGTAATTATTACGATTATCAGCAGCACGAGAATCGCGAGTCGCGACGTTTTGTACCAAATCACAACTTTGACGAAAGAAACTCAAATCGAGAGCCCGGCACATTGGTAGGACGGACGGCTGTGTCAGTGAAGAGACTGACAATGATGGATGACTACGCGTGATGCGTGTGAGTCAAGCCCATACGACGCCATAGCTTCGAGCTCATATGTGACCTCCGGTTCGAGCAGGCCGAACTGTTGCTATCGTTGCATCTGTGCAGAACACCCTCCCGAAACACGATCCCCGATCAACGATCCTCCCCACATCGGCTAATTTCTCCAAGCTATTAACTTTTTCTCCGACCAACGAGGCCGTACGTATAGGAGGGAAAAAATAAAACTCGGAAGATTAGAAAATTGCGTTTTGCAACCTGCACTCCAAGCTGCACTTCTGGCTCTTTAGCCGTTTCCGACTTTCGGACACGCGACAGCACAACTTCGCGACGCGTACAACTCAACAATTTGGTAAGCGTCGGACAATGCGTCGTCATCGGACGGGCATCTCAATAAAGTTTACAGTCAAACATTTTACAATAGATATGGTATAATCTTTATCGTCGATTATGCGGTGACGTCGTGGCCATATCGAGGGTGGACTCCGAAGCTGCAGGGTCAAGGGTTACCAGCCCCGAGTCGTGCGCGATGCTTGCCCCTTCCGCCCAACCGTCGCGACCATAAATCTTACGATCGTCAAGGGACGACTCATTCACGCCACTTTGCTTTCCATCCGATATCCGCTGAGCAGAAAACGCATGGATTTCTACGACTTTCACCTTGATCATTCACAGTATACGAACAGTACACTGTTCGTGCTATGTAACATGCACTTTTCATTCCAGAAAGATCAACAGACTCCAATAATAAAATAAAAAACAAGCAGTCGATGCAAGACGTTATGTGTGAAATATATAAAATTTAATACATCGAAATGTAAATTATTACGTCAGACGTAAAATTTTGTATTTTGATGTATTAAATTTTACATATTTCACACATAACGTCTCGACTCCTATTGCCCATTTCTGTGTTTGTTTTTCACTTTTCATCCCGTTCAATATGATTTGTTCAACTTCGCAATGTTGTTTCGCGAATGTCGTTTAATTTAGTCGCAAACATTCCTTCATCAAAAGTGATTAATTAACGCGTCCGTCGTGCACGCGCCAAGATTTCCAGGATTACCACAATTGTTTCGTTTAATCGATCTCGCGCTGCACTCCTGAGACAAAGAGCCCACGTCTAGAAATCCAGAGATGGAAGCCAGCAAGATACGAGTAGCCGGCGCAACGATTCTTATTTTCTCCTTTTTTTCCAGGACGCGCGAGAGAGAAATGTCGTTAACGCTTAAATGTTAATAAATGTAGATAGGGAATAGGGGGTCCTGTATATCAGACAGGTAGACGCTCACCTGAGCGCCCGGTGACTAAGTGAAGAAGGTAAGAAAGTGCTGCTACGCTGGCGGCTGCTTTTGAGGCTCGGTTTGTCATGGTTCGCATGATAGATGGAGGAAGCGGGAGCTTCGACTCTCCAGTGTATATATGTATATGTACATACATACATACACACACATAGGGATATACATATACACATATACATATGTATGGTGTTGAGTTTTAACCACGGGGACACCTTGCGATCATCCCGTCCGTTAACTCGTTCGCCTACCGCAAATAGAATCTTACACGCCTCGCTCCCGTTGCTGCCAATGACGAAACTGTGAAATTTATTTCCGACTGAGATTCCGCCGCTTCTAATGCCTCCCTCGCGAATGTATCAGAAATTAATGATCGGCTCCTAATTTAACTCTGCACGCTTGAACGCGAGCCGCAATTTCGGCCCATCAGCAGAGACGAAAATAAATTTTCACGAGCGGAAGCCTCCACGTTCGTGACGATTTACTCATCTGTTAGCAATAACTCTGCGATACGACGAGAAGGCAATGTGCGAAGGTCTTTTACTACATTACAATTGCAGATACGCGCCGTATCTTGAAGAATAATGAGACCTGCAGCGAGGAAATTAATAAACGTAAGTAGTAAACGTTAGTAAAAGTTGCTGAGTAAGTCAAATATAACTTCTTGTACATTAGCGCGACCTTATAACTGTTCTCATTATTTTTTCCGTTATTGCACTACCGAGTAGCTTTCATACTACGTTTATTAATACATAAAACTGACTTAATGTTGAATAAATATTTTCAGTTACATGATTTTCGTGTTAAATGAACTTACGTGCTTTAGCGAATATTTTTTAAGTCAGTTGTTGAACACAATGAAACCAACAGTGACATTATCAAACGAAGTTACGACTTTGACTTTATTAAACCTGACAATATGTAATTTGATATGCAATGATGATTACATAAATTTATTGCGAAAAGATGGTTCGAATAAAAATTATTTAGTTCAACTAGAAAATCGCATGAAGCAGTACCGAACACGCAGAGCTCGAATTATTATAATAATTACGTCAGACCTGAACATGACATGCTTCAATTAGCTTCATTAATTGCGCTACATATGACGTAACGTCAAACTCAGGTTTTACAAAATCTGTGTTTTTAATAACAAGCAACTCACTCGATCGAAACAATAGCTCTGCGGCATTCAGTAGGGGGAATTTTTAGATAATAATTAGGTTAATCGCTATCGAGGAGCACACAATCTTCCCGACCGACAGACTTATGTCGGGATGAGACGACAAATCAGTCGCGAGCAAATGCCGCGTACGCGTGTAACGGAGCAGAACGGCCCTATAA